GTGTTTCGATCTTGCAATCTCGTCAGTCGGGCAGTTACCCTTTTTCGTCTTTGCCAATCCCTATGTGGGTGCTCCAGTCCCCATACTAATATGGATCGCAAGTCAGGAAAATCTCACCGAACATAGAGTGTTTGTACACTCGATTGCTCTTGGCTGGTATATTCAAAATTTCATATCTTTCGATCCAGCTCAAATCTCAATCTGCCTGATCACCATTTTTTGAGCCACGCATGTCAGTGGTCTGTCAAGGAGGGCTGACTCATATTGACCCAACAGAGTTATGGTCGCACACAACATGAGACCTAAGCGACGGCTGAATGATCTGCGAGAACGGAACGGCTGGACAAAGACTTTACTAGAGAGACTCGAAGACTCGTAAGATAAAAAAGGACTCACCGGATCACTCCGTCCTGGACGAGGACGTCAGCAAAGAAGACGGAATCGTCGTTGACGACCTGCGCTCCACGTATGACCAACGACATGCCGCCGCCACCGCCTCCACCAACACCGGCGCGCGCCTGCTGCCCCGAGCACGACTCCTCTGCGTCTCCCACACCGGCTGCAGCACTCTCGCCGTCGGACACTGCCCTGGTGTCGCCATCGCCGCGCTCGTTAGCGGACTGCTCCATCGCCGCGTCAGAGTTGGTGTCGCCGGCGCCGGACGACAATTCCTGAACGAGACGGGGTGGGTGAGATGGGATCGGCCGTGAAGTTAAACAAATGGGACATGCGGAGGCAAACGGGAGGGAAGGCGTGGCGCCATTACGAAAGACGCCTGGGACTTTCGAGGATTTGTAAGTCGGGGGCGGCGTAGCACAGTGGTTAGTGACGCAGTGTAGCGGGAGCGACGCGCTGGTTCGACCCCCACTTCAGCACAACCTTGCAATCGAAGGGGATTTTATGCGCCAGCAAAGTAATTTTTGAATTTGACACCTCTAGAAATTGGTCGAGAACTATCTCGAATTTCCAACAATAGCCTATAAATAGCCCAGCCGTTACCGACTGGATTCCTCGGGACATCAAGCGCACCACGAAAGCGCTCTTACGGGAACACCACCGACCCGTTGGTTCCGATTTCTTCACGAAAGCTATAGAAGAAAGATATGATGCTCAACGAATCCCTAGAGCGAAAAGGACCCATTGGGCTACTCTTTCACGCGATAGGTATAAATGGAAGTGTTGCTGGTACCCGCTCGAGTCACTCGACGATCATCGGGACGACAGTTGATACAGGTGATACAGCCTATAAATAATTATAGGTCTTAGTGGAACCAAAATCATAAATGCTTGGCCATCAGAAAATTACAAAGAGACCGTAATTCGAGTGAGAGAGAGAGGGAAAGAGGGAGGGAGGGAGAGGGAAATTTGAGTCCAAAACATTGGTTGATGCAATGTCAATAGTCTCCCGCAGCTTGACGCATAACTGCACGTGCTTCCATTGAATGAAGGATCAAAGCTAAACAAACCTCATCATCGCCGATATCAGGTCCTGGCTCGCTATCCATCATTCTCTGAGTCTCTTTGTTCGAAATAGCGTCGCTAACGACAGTATCGTCGAATTCGTTCCAGTTGTCGTTTCCCAAATTGCCCGGCTCTCGTTGGATCTCATTCGAGGTTTCCGATGTGACCACATCCTCTTGTTGCTCTACAGTTATAAAAATCGTCAAAAAAAAAAACTGTGAACAGACTACAAATGTTCAATGTCAGGACTTCTATTTACTCCTTTTCACAACAAGGTAAGATGTGGAGAAGAACCACAACGATGCTCAGATACGTACAGAACTCAAACTCTCAAATTTGTGGTCTCAAATCCTCGAGAGTCTTTCCGGAACTCACGTGATATCCACTGCACCAACCAAAGGCCCTTGCTTTGTCTTTCTCTCAGGCAACTTCAAGTCATATGCATAGCTAACAACGCATACCTAATGTGGTCTGATTAGTATCCTCAAACAATTCTGGGCCCGGTTGAGCGATTTGGTCAAAGTGGCTGGTCGTAGAGCGCCAATTTCCCCGCTTTCGTGCTCGTTCGTACACCTATTATAGACGATTTATGAATAACATTCCATCATAATCACTCCTAGATGTTTTTCAGTGACTATAAGCGCCATACATCTTCAGATAATTACCGTATTGTGATCTTCAATCTCAGTAAAAAAGGGAGCTTTAGCCGGCGGACATTTGACCACTTCCCAGTCGGAAAACTGCTGAAATTCCTTCTCAATCACGTTCTTTCTGTGGAAATTGCGCGCCTCCTGTGATTGTGGGATACGATCAAACGCCGATGTAGCCCCAAATGATGAACCTCCACCTCCAAATAATTCCTGTAATTGATCAATTTCCGACATATATATATATTCATATATATATACATATATATATATATGTAAACGAAGTACATTGAATACTCTCCTTACCCTCATAGCGGATGACGTTTCGAGACCTTTATTACGATGACGCGATGGCTGAGGAGGTACATCTGACGGTGCAAAGGGAATTGGTGAGGATTTAGTAGAACGGGCCAAGGTAGGCTAAACGTGAAAAGAAAAATGGGAGGTAAAAATGCAGTGATATCTTTCAACAACCACAATAGTTATTGTACACCATTAATGACAGCAGAATGATATAAACCTGCGCGAGACCATGTGGTGATCGCGATTTGTTCCGACTGACAGGTCGTGAACGAACATTCAGCTTGTTTCCTGAATCGACGATGCCTCAAGGCTTGAAACTTGAACATAATGAAGGAATGTACCTGATGATGGACGATGTAAGAGTGTTCCCATTATTTCACCACTCAGTTCAGGAATTTCTGTGTAGAACTGTACGTTTACCAAACATTCCGAATGGAGTTCCAACGTCCTCCTGAACATTAAGAAACTATATATGGTGTAACTAAAAACCTTTAGTTTAATACACGATGCTACCGTTCTTGTCCATCAAAGGATTTTCTTTGATAGTAAAAGTATCTATTAAATAGTTAAAGCTTTTGAAGACGAAACGAACGCTCTAGCAGAGTGATTATTCAAATGACTTCAATCCTAGTAAAGAGTTTGAACCTCGACTCTCAACTCTCTCTCTCTCTCTCATTCTCAACCAATGTGGCTAACGTTCCAGATAAGTCGACTGTTAATCTGGTAGCTCCGGAAGGATGAAATGGTTAGTGAGCCCTGACGCAGAATTAAACCAACAACTACGTGTCTATTGCATCGAAGCTCTAACCAACGTTCTACATATGCTCGTAAATTATTGCACATAGTTTGTCATAAATATCGTAATTGAATTTCCACGATACGCTCTTCAGCATTTAGTTTAGACTGTTGAAATGCTCAAAGTCTTCTCAAGTTGATATGTCAGTGGCTTAGGTACGTTTCGACGGTAACGCCCGCTTCATAAGAGCCCCCCACGTACCACACTGAACTCTAAATTGTAGCAGGGATGGGGAGACGTTCTGGTTCTAGCGCGTGATATTGTATTATACCATTTTACTTTGAAGATACTCGGTTAATCAGACTGGAATGTTGATCTCTTCACTAAAGCAAGTGACACATGTGGACGTAATTTTAAGCTCACCGCAGTTGTTTGTTATAAGAACTCCCTAAAATGTTTCAAGTCTTTCCTGCTTTCACGATAAAATCGTGATCGATCAATTCCACATGTGGGTCTTGCAAAACAGTTCGAATTCCAGGCGGATAGAAATTAGACTGACCTTTCAAACTGAATGTAGCTTCGTAAAAACATCTTGCTGGAGCACGAATACTTCTTGATCATTTTTTTAATCATAATATGCCGATCATGCTTTACCAGCCATGAGTAATCGAGCGCACAACACTGCCCGTTGGGTAATTTTCCCACCAGGCGACAAGTGTAAATATTTCGGAGTCAGTTCCTCTATGTAGGAGACATCTCCCCGAGGCACTGACTGAACCGAAAGACGCCGTGCAACTGACGAGGCTGTAATACCGAAACACGTAACTTGCACTGCACTGTATAAGTGCCATGAAAGACCTCATGAAACGCTCAGTATATGTTATCGACTTCTCATTCAACTGATATACATTTTTTAACAGAAGAAAAACCCTCAAGGTCTAGATTAGTATGATTCCGAGTTCCTCAACGAATTTCAAGTCTACAGTTGTTTTGTTACTCATTTTTGTGGGATGTGACATAACTCATGACAATTAGAGAATCATCAAACCACATACACGAAAAATGGGGAAGGGGGTCGGCGCCGTAGTTAGTGACGTAGTATGTTGAAAAAGGAATGATAAGCGATGCGTTAGTCCAATCCCTCCTCCGTCACTTCTTGTAGTCAGTCAACCAGCGTTCTAAGAAACGCTTCAGCTCGGCTCCTCCAAGACTGCAAAGAAAGTCATCTCCACCAGTACTCTACGACGTTCATAAGGAAGAGGAGATCCTCGAACAGCAGCCGAGGCAGAACGTCAAACGTTCGCAGACATTTGCAGAGGATGAACTACGCGAAAACGAATCGAATGCTAGAACTGCTCAATTTTGGTAACGAGTCGTGCAAAATGAATAAGAAATGATTGAACAAACGCTAAGTATGTCGATTAAAACAAACCGCCGCCGAGATGTTTGGATAGGAGCTAGAAATGGAAACATTGACAGAGAGTTGTACCAAGTCTTGCCCACTATGAATGGCCTCCTCAGATCTCAATACCCGCACGCTATCGCTGTCGTCTGAATGAAAATTATCAGATTTCAACGATATTGACGGCATAAATTCACACTCAAAAATCACAGTAGGAATTAAGCATACTGTAAAGAGCGCTCGATAAAGTTCACATGCAAAATCGGTTGTACCTGCGACTCACCCTCTCTGCGGCGCGAGCTGATCATTACACTACCGGGGCTCCTGTTCTGGCTATAACTCTTTCTGCGATACAAGGGGTCGATTCCGTCAGCAATCAACCGTCAACGGTTTGCTCTGATAAATACATGTCGGCACTGAACCTAGTTACGATGACAGCTTTTGAATGCATGCTCCGATAATGAGCGGTTAGCATGCGCTCCCGGAAAGGGTGCGACGCGGGTTCAAATACCGCTCGAAGTTGATGGTTTTGCATATCTCTCAGCATTTCCAGATAAATAACTATATATTCATTATTCCTGATTGAGAGGGAACAACTAAAAAATCAGTCTCATTCGCTGGGAAAGAACTTTTCCTAGAAGTGTTGGTAACCAATCGAAAGCTGAGGCTTGTGGTTACAGCTCCACGTCGCCGGTTTTTCGAAACACTCCTTTGTAACAATGTAACATCCAAAATAAAATCATGTTCAATGAGACCACGTGTTTTTCTCTTATATCGCTTGTACTTCGTTGGACAAAACCTCTTTCTTATAGTGCTAGAACTGAAACTATAGCACAAGCTTCAAAAAACTCAAACAAGGGCTTGCTTTCTCAAAAACTCTTTTGATCTTTTGATTTCCCCTGCTCTTTGATTTGTGCTTTTAAGTTCGCCGAACGAAGCTCAATCTTTAGACTATTGGTAACCATCTGATAGTGTAACGTTTTCTGATTCTAGCGACGTCCTTATTTTCTAAAAGTACGACTTAGCAAAGAAAATAAGATCGGGTTTTACACTTTTGGTGACATTGCTTACAGGCTACTCGACAAGGCGGGAGCCGTGGGAGGGGGCGTGGCAGGGGCGGGAAAGGGAGGGGCGGTGATATTTTGTTTTTCAATTGGGAAATTTTCCTCCGCTTCGAAATAAAATCTGATAGAACGATTGAGTAAGATACTTACTACGAAAATTTCTTCACACACTGATATGTTTTTCAGCTTTCAGCGAACTATACGCGTGATAAAATGAAGTCAAAAGGCGAATGTGAAACATAACTTTTGACTGGATGCTACAACGTTATGATGGGGTGCTTTGAAAAATTGGCGACGCGAGGCGATAGCCCCAAGTTTCAGCTTTCAACTGGTTACTAGCAGTCCTATGAAAATTTCCTCTCCAGCGAATGAGATCGGTTTTTCATTTGTTCCCTCCTAATCAGAAAGAACCTCACCTAACAATATCGGATAAATAACTATGTATTCATACAAATGCTAGATATCAATTGAAAAGAGAATTCCTATCGACTACATCTAATTGAGTTTTCCGAACAAAGAGCACTTGGTTCTCTCAACGATGATCAACAATATCGCAGTGAGAAGAGCAGAACATGTGTTGCGACATAGTCGCTCTAATATAGAACAAAGTGAGAATGTCAACATAAGTGGTATTAGGCAAATTCATGGAATTGGAGAGAGCAGATAGCGGAACGGTAAGCGATCCGGTTCACAAGGTAGCAGCAAGATACTAGTTCGACCTCCTCTCTCGACACTCTCATGCATTCCCCACGTAGGAAACGCTTTAGCTCGGGTACATCCAAAGTTGGAAGGTGAAAATGGGACTGTCTCGACCAAAATTCGGCGACATTCGTAGAGAAGATGAAGTCCCCAAGCAGCAGCTGCAAACATTATCGAAAAACTAAGAATGGTAAAAAAATATATATATATACAGCCCTTCGAATCTTGGGCCGAACATCCGAGCCTTATCCTTTTCGCAGATAGTACGTATTTATCGTACTAAACCTCCGTTTACGGTTCTCCGCTGACAGCTCTAATACCTTGCATCGCCGAATGAGTGATAACAGGAGCCCCAGATGCAGAGTCAGCACGCGGCTCAAACAGGCCAAACAGGGTGAGTCGTGGGGGTTTAGCTCGAGCTCAAGGTCCAAAGTTTTGTTTGTAACTCAGCATTTTTGGATTTATAGTTATGACATCATAACACTCTACAACTGAAGCTATGAGATAGTAACAATTCTTATGGAACAAATAAAATATTTAGAATGCTTGAGGACCTTTGAGGACGATGAGTGATAGGAAACGGATAGTCGAATACAACAAACGATACGATCCGCACAGTGAAAGTGGAAGAAGGTCATATAGATAAACAGATTATAAATAATATGCATCCATAAGTGTTATTGATTTGAAATGCTAGCACGAAAACAAAATCGGATTCCTTCTAATCATAAGGGGACGAATGCAAAAGAACCGAGCTCATCTGCTGGATAGCAAGTTTTCATAGGAGAGTTAGTAACCATTTGAAAGCTGAGGCTTCAGGCTACAGCCCCACGTCGTCGGTTTTCGGAAAAGACTTTTCTTGACGCTGCTACAGGAGGAGATTTCTTGCGTTGCAGACGTGCATGATTCACGCCGGACAGAGCTCTTTCTTAAGACTATTAGTAATTACTCAATAGCGTAAACGTTTCTTATTCCAACGCTGTGCTTATTTTCTGCAAAAACCGTTTCTCTGCAGTGCCACAGGGAAAATAAGACTGATTTACCCACGCGAATAGGTGTTTCCTGGGCATTCCATAGGGTGGTAGGTGGCGGGGTGAGGGCGGATGTCGGCGTTTTCACACGACCATCGGTCAGTTCTCACTTTGGCTAGTGGTATATCTTCCTGTAGAACTGCACAGAAACGGTCTTTATAGAAAGCAGGCATAGCGTTAAAATCAGCAAACATTACGCCATTGAATGAGTACTAATTGTCCAAAAAAGAGCTCTTTCCAACGAGGTGTAAAGCACAAATTCTCTTTCTTCTAGAGCGCTATCAAAAGAGCTTTTCCAAAAACTAAACGTATTTTTGCATTCTTCGAAACTTGTGCTATCGAGAGTACTAGCACTCCCAAGTAAGAAATTTTGTTCAGCGAAATATAAGCGAGGTAAAAAAAACACGTTTTTTTGTGAAACATTATTCCATTTGGATTTTACAGCGTCATAAAAGGGTGTTTTGAAAAACCGACCATGTGATGCTCAAGCCAGAAATCTAAGTTTCTTATGATTACTATCATTCCTGAGAAAACTTCTTCTTCATCAAAAGGAGGTCGGTTTTCCATTTGCCCCTTTGTAATCAAAAAGAACCCGGAACCGTTGTTGTCGGCCGGTGACACGTCTGGGACGGCGTGTACCGTTCACGATACGCGGTCGGGTGCCTCGTTTGGACTGTTGCGAACATCAATACATGCTCCATTTCAAATCTACTGTTTATTTGGCAAGTTAAGGCTTTAAGGGGACGTTATCATAGCCAAGCCATGAAAAATCACTAGAGTGACTTCTCTATAGGTGGTTTTAGCGAAAGGGAACGTCCATCACGTCCTAAATATAACGATGTTAGAACGAAAAAAACCATATGGTACAGAAAAAAACGCCCACGCAACCAATCTTAAACATTTTTTCTTATTTCTTCCACATTTTTATGGTCATTCGATTGCCCAAGAAATGCAGATTTGCAAAAAAAAAGGAAGAAAATAGCAGAAGAGGCAAAGTCGCTAAGCGATGTTCTCGTCGAACCCGCCCTCCGCGCCTCACGACGATAGTGTTTGCACAGCTTTCCAAATTAATAAGCGTTCCATCGACCATTTAAAAAAACATCTGCTCATGAGAAATTGTCTATTCACGATGAATGAACGCAAAAATCGTCACGACAACCTAGACACACTTAGATAGACACATAGGAAGCCACCTGCTCACTGGATGGGACGGGACCACTACGGGTCGACGGTAGATCAGAAAGTCGGGTACAAGTCAAAAAACTTCCCAGCTGCAACAGGATAACACTTTTCTAACTGAGATGACACAAACACACGAAAAAGTTGGTCCCCATAAGCTGGCGGGGACCACCACGGGTCTACGGTAGGTCAAAAGCCGGGCGAAGATCAAAGACCACCGGCGGAGAGGGACGAGATCTGCCGACCGTCCGATAGGTCTGCTCGAGGACGTCGACCTGTCGAACACGTCGTCGGACCACACCGTGCAGGTCAGCAAGCAGTGGAAGGCGCGATCGATGGGGGAGACCGCCGCCGTGGTGCAGCCAGCCGCCGTTGCTTGCTGCACATCGTCGTCATCGCTGGTGTCCGCCCCCCGCCAATTTCCGAGCACTTGCAGGGTTTTTTCTCGATTTTCTTTTTTTCCCGTTTTTTTTTTCTCATTTTCTTATCGATCGATCATCTCCATCGGCGGCGGCTGTTGGCTAGTGCAGTCGGATAGCCATATAGGCGTCGGGGTTGACTATTCAGTCGCGCTCGAGGAGATGATCGGTGGACGGCGGCTGAAACAGCATGCGAATCGCCAACGGATGACTCATGCAGATCGTTTTCGTAGTCGAATCGATTAATCGGCCGTTTTTTTCCGCACCTCAAACACTTATCGATCCGAATTATCGATTTTTGCCGCAATATTTACCAAGTGCTTAGTTAGATCTCATCGTCGTTAGTTTGCGATTTTGATAGTCTAGTTTGGCCATGTGGCTCTAGTAGCCTCTTCGTTCAAAAAGGACTCATTTCCTCAGGATTTCCTAGCCTTTCCTGATTCTCCAAGCCCCTGGTTGACCCCGATTCGATGCTGGAAAGAAACTGTTTCTATTTTAGATGTTATTCAGTCCTTATTCTCCTTGAAAATGTTGCTTTGCTCGACTTATTTCTCAAAAATACTCATCATAGCTAGCCCATGGCTAAAACTGCCAGGAATTAGGACTCCTTGTTTTTGGTGATCTCTGTGATTTCACTAATCTTCCATTCGCTTCTGTCGGTTTTCCCTTTGTGAAACGTCGGTGGTGGTGAATATGTGATTCGCTGATGTGTTCATCATGTTTTGATGGCATTTATCGATAGCGAGCGATTCAATACACATTCTTTTTCTCTATTGATTTTCTCCAAGTGTCGTTGATCAGAAATGTCTCGTTTCAGTGTGTTTCGTGGTTCGAATCTCTCAGATTTCGAGCTCTTATTTAGTCGTAATATAGCGTGGGATGAGTTCAAACAGCAGGAAGGTTAGTTCTTCCCTCGGCACTCCCACTCAGTTGTTTCTATTAAAGATCAAAGCAGTGTCCCATTTTATTGTTCTTCAATGAGCTCAGAGTCGTGTTTCTTTATCTATTTTGTTGTTTTCTACCTCATTCGCAATGTCTTAAGGTGCAGCAATGCTTGGAGAAATCGAGTGCCAAGTATGTTGATTCGGCAAAATCGGACATTCTCGGTGCATTGGCTGAATTCAAGGACC